AGCGTAAGCTCTCCTTATCCTTCTGCTCTTACCATTATGGACTTTTTCTGAGGCTGCCTGTATTCACCAGATGCTAGACATCAGTGCAGCATCATGAGATGCCATACCTGCTCCATTCCTCCCTGTGAAATACAGAGCAGCAGAGTCATGCCTTCCTGGGCTTGGAGATTTGCCACACGCATGTACAAAGCACTACCTCCTGCTCGTGTGCAGCAGCACTGGGTCTAGCATACAATCTAGCACTAGGAGTAGCTTTGTGCACCCAAGTAATGTCCTCTGGCTTCCACTGCACTGAGTGTCCTTTCATCAGGTCTGAGCTAAGGTCCCCACGCTCTCCAAGACAGAAGAAAACTATACACAAATGTCCTTCTGTCAGACTCAGGCTACAGGAGAGTGACGGTACAGAGCAGTAGTTCCCCCCTTTTCCCCTTGGGGTTAAATAGTGGGTGCAAATCCAGCTGCAAACAGCTGAAACCATTCTTTGAAAATTTCTGCTGAGTTGTTACAAATTATAGTATTTTTGTATAGCAGTGGTCTGTTTTCAACAGAACTGGGAATTAATCAGAACCCTCAACCTCTGGGTATCTGCAACATGGGATTACACAAAGCTGCTGTGTAGTTATACTGTAATTTAGCTAACTCGAGAGAGAGAGAGATACCAGCACAATACAGGATTAAACTCTAGCCTGAATTCTGAAAACAGTTCCTGTCTTTATGGCATTTTGCACAAAACTCTTGCAGCCAAACTCACCCAAGCCATCTGGGATGGCTGAAATCAAACGCTGCAATCTCTCCCCAGCTTGGCCCAACCTGAAATATTCTGGATAGGCTTGGAAACTTTTCAGAAAAAAAAAAAAAAAAAAAACACCACACACTGGCTGCTGAGAATCCCACCAGCATGCTACACTCCTGTTCTGGAAGGGGAAAAAAATACTGAAACACTCAAGAAACTTATCTCTGATGTTACGAAAGGGTGGTATAAACTTACTAGAGGGTTGTTCCAGTCAAATCTATTGAAACATGCACAGAGCCAGTTCCCCTACAGGTGGGGAATAAACCGTCTCTCCATTTTATCAGTGTTTTGTTCAGATCTAACAGAAGAAAATCAGCAAGCTGGCAGGATTAAAGGAGTACAGAGGCCTTACATACAACTCTGGCTCCTGCAAGAGCATTCCTTCCACAATCCTATCACCCACCTTAACGTTCACATCCCACATATGCTAGTCATTAAGTTCTCTGGAGTTGAGAAGACCATGTCAGCGAACACATTCAGCCATCACAAGCTGATCCATACCAGCAAAGACCCAAAACAAATCCTCAGGCAGCACCTGTGTCCAGCCAGTGACTCTATTCCCAACAAAGCAAACTGCTCCGGGTACAGGACCCAGAGGCTGGGCAATTCTCTTGTCCGTCGTATATACACACACATTGAAAAGAGGTTGAAGAAGGAGCAGAGGAGTCACAATGACATGTGGAAATCAGTGCAGGAATCTGGAGATAGTAACGATATGGGTTTTGTTACTAATTTTATGCGCATACATACTGCAGCACGGGAAGCTGCTCTGTGTGCCAGGGGGCATTTCTGGTAACAGCTGACAGTCTCATTAGTACCTCCAACATGGGGGAGTCTGCGTATACTAATTGTATTACTGCTTGCTCTTTGGACAAAAAGGAATAGTACAAAGGCACCCTCGAGGACTTTGGACTTTCAGTAAGCTGATGAGCAGATTTACACTGCTCGTTTGGCTTGGGCCTGGGGACTTGTGCTGCATGAGGAATGGGAAAAAAAAAAAAACTGAGCCAAACCACACAGCCATACAGATTCACCAACTTTTTCTTACACACCACACCTCTAATGAAAGATTACTTAAAGATTAACTCTTAACAGAGGAGTCCAGGACTTTGCATCTTCTAGCATAGCTGACATAGCAACATTTCTCCATAGATTTGTCTCATACAGGAAAAAAAAAGGAGGGTAGAAGCAACAAGGGCTCCATGAAAGCTTGCAGTTTGTGGTTATGCTGTAGCTTATTTTCAGCAGGTGTTTCTGATGGACATCATGCTGAGCTGAAGTAGTGGTTTTAACATCTATTTTCAGGATCGCAGGCCAGCAGCTTTTCGCCAGCAAACGAGATATTGGTCTGTAATATGACCGCCCCTTACTTCCATGTAGTTCTTTGTAATGTCTGTCTACTCTTGCTTCTACCAAAATACGCAGCTAAGAATGCCAACTAGACTGTGGTTTAAAAGTGACTTTCTGTAGAACAAGGCTTCCACAAGCCCAAGTGAAACCTTACACAATGCTCTATAAAAACCAAAACAATTAATGTCTTCTCTGTGGCAACATTCACACAACCACTGGCAAATTCACACAGTTGTATTGTAAGCCACCTTCATTCACAAATCCAAGCACAGATGGCTTGCATAAGTTTGGGATACATCTTTTCCACTGACCTAATTGTGGCAGGGCTGCAGCAGCTCAGATGACATGTTTTGTTGCATTTTTTTCACTGTAGCTAATCGTAGTTGTGTCACATACTTACAACTGCAGTGAGTCCTTAATACAGTAGCGGGTAAACAAACATCACACAAAACAGTCTGCACAAGAGAGGGATGTGTATGCCTCGGAGACAGCTTGCTCACAGGTTTTAACAAGCACTCTCAAAAAGAACGTTCCAGGCAGTGTTACATTTCTGCCTGTTCTCTTAGAGCATCAGTTACCCTTTGAACGCTTGGTAATAATCCTAACTTAAAGAACTGGGTCTCTTCAGATGTAAACAGCATTTGCCTTTGCAAACAGTCACTAAACAAATGATACAGTACCCCTTATTTCACAACCAAAAAAAAAAAAAGTTCAGCACATTATGTTTACAGTTACTAAAAATAATAGTTTGGGAGGAGAACTTTTCAGAATAACTGTTATTTTCTGTGATTCCATGTCCTCAAACAAGCCTCTGACATCTGTGCTTTAGGACCACAGATGATCCTCAAGCAAATTCCATGCAAATCTTAATCTCACTACCAGTAAAGAAACTAAGTAACAAAATATACCATCCTCTAAAAAAGCAGAATATAATACATAGCCTTGTAGTGGCTGTATTCCGTATCACCACTTACAAGTTAAGGGAACAAAAGTATCTGGTATAACTCTCACAAGGTGACTCTCCTCCCCGCAAAAACAACAACAACAAAACTTAAAAAATTGTTTTTAACGTGTATCTGCTTAGGGATCCAATTTTCAGCTCAGCTTCTCTCTGAAAACTGATCCTCACTCCATTACTGACAGCTTCTACTTGGGGGGGAGGGGAAGTAAAACAAAGTGAATTAATTTCAAAATAAGAATGAATAGCTCATACAAGGAAAAAATTAAGGAATTCACAGTGTTTCGCTAGAATGAACATGAATACAAATCCAGGATTGTGTTGTTTTTCTTTTGTTTTAAAATAGTATTGAACCATGCTCCAAGACTGACGATAGCAATCAACATGAAATAAGAAAGGATTTAAGTTCTCTTTTACACACATAACTCCATCATCTTATAACCTGCAAAGCAGCAGCAAATCAGCTCTACTGTTACTCATCTACAGATGGTACTTTCAGCCTGTATAAAGTACTCAAAAAAAACAACCTTAAGGAGAAGAGCCACCTCCCTTACTGTTTCTTATCAACAGGACAGCCCAGTATTTTAAAAAAAACCAACAATCTGCACCACCATGTAATGTTATCCCACAGTGTGGAGACTGAATTAGCTGATAACCCTTGGACACAGTAGCTCTCCCTTTTCTTCCTCTGCACCATCTTCCTAGCTTATTCAGGTAATTTCTTCCTTCTCTTTTCCTCAGCTTCTGCACCTTCCTCCTTTCCTCCCACCAATTCTCTGCTTTCTCCAACCTAAACACAGAGTTACGAACACCTACTGGAGTGCCTCTGCAGAGGGCTTGCTATACGCTACAAGAGCGGAGCCAAGTGGCTTGGTCTGGTAGGATGCTGCTAGAGCCCACACTCTACTCAGTACAGAGTCGCCCCTGCACTGTGGCTGTTCTGGTGTGGGACAGGGATGAACAGTTACTTGCGAGGAACTTGCTGCTGCATCACTCACCACTGTAGCAGCAGGTTTGCAGGACCAAGCAGAATTCACAGACCGGCAACCCTGCTATGCTGTCACAGATTTCTTGTCATCTCCTGGAGGGATCAGGGGTCATAAAGAAGAACTGGTGGCTCTTTCTTCTTGTAGAAAGCCCAAAGCCAAGCTCAATCAAAACTACGTTGCCAGATAAACTTTATTTACAAACATACAAACCTCAGAATTGGCGTGCTGAAAAGCAGTAGGACCACAGGCCCCAAAGACAGATCATCTCCTGTTTGAGAAGTATTACGAGGACAACTGTTCCTAATGATAAAAACACTTCTCCCAGTCTTTGACGAGAGAACACAGCTGAATACGAACTCCCTGTGATAAGTTCTAGATGATCTTGTATCCTTCAGCATGAGACAAGCTGCTGGTTGCACTAAAGTTTTGCTGTGAAGCGTCCAGAGCTCTTGGCCCAGCACAGCACTCTCTATTGTAACAGTCCTCAGCTAACAGCTTCAGTGATCATCAGGAATACAGACCATCTGCCAGGGAAGCTGACACTATCTCCTCCAGATGGGAGAGAAATACTTTACAAGGGACATGCAAAAAGTGGGGAATGAAAAAAATTAGATCCCATCACCACTCCAGTATGACACCCCAAAGCCAACATTCTCAATATCCTATGCTAAAATTATGTTCTTTTCTTTTGCTTTTTTACTTCTCCTTCCCATTACCAACCCAAAGGTGAATTCCTATGGGGGAGCCCTCGTATCTATTTCCCATTCAAGCCTGAAACTGCCATGGTACAGTGGGGTTACACTGCCCCCCATCCTCCCATAACAGTTGATGTTTTCTGAACTGAATTCTAGTATTTAGAAGCTGTAACCACCTCTAGCTAAACAGATCAGCTTACATCACTGTCTTTAAGTCAGTTTTGCTTTGCCTCTTTTCCTGCAAGAGGCCAGGAAACCTGGATGTGATATGGCTCTAGTTCTTCTGGAGTGACATAGTCTGGAGCATTGCCCATCAGGTCCCGTCCCCTGAAGGATTTAGGAAAAGCAATGACATCTCTGATACTTGGAGCGTCAACGATGAGAGAGATCAGCCTGTCAAGTCCTAGAAGCAGAAAACAAATTGGTGAACCACTTGAGTTATGGCCCTATATTCCTTCCTCCGATTCAGAAAAATCGGAAAGATGGAGTAGATAATATTACTGAGCTTGAAGAATAAAACTGAAGCAAGCAAGGGGGAAAAAATTAACCTCAACCAGTAGCAGAGAAAGAGACTTGCCTAAAGCTTTTCAATATTACAGAAAATTCTGCAACACACCAAGGACTGCAAGACAGAGACAGTGCCTTTGCAAAGACAGCATAAAAAAACCAGGGCAGCTAAGTGGCAGGAACACTGTCTGCTTAACGGCTCAAAGTAAGCTCTTGATCAACCGGTTCTGAAGGATTACAACTAGAAGGAATTCAAAAAGAACAAGAGCCTCTGGGTGATTGGATGGAGGGAAATCACACTGGAAGACAGCACCTTAAAATGCTACCTTTGCTTTTTGTAGGGTTTTTTGTTTGTTTTGGGGGTGGTGGGGATGGTGTTGTTTTTCCTTTTTTAAAACCACAAACTTGCAAAGTTCTAGGAAAAGTATCTGACATTATCTGAATTAGTGAGCAAAACAGACAAGGAAGAAGGAAGTGAGACTGAAGCAGAGGGCGAGGTTGTGGCTGTGACCCAGGGCATGAAACAAAGTACCACGCTGTCCCAGGCCTCTGGGTATGCAGCACAGGGATCCTGTTCTGACTGCACTGGAATGAGAATAAAGATGACCTAATCTTAACAAATACGCTGTTTGTAGAACAGCGTATGAGGATCATCCTTAGAGCCACCAACATGTGATTTGGTCCTTGCATAAGAACTAAATCACACTTTGACATTGAGGAGAAACACCAAAACATTCTGCACTTGTTGACAAAACCTCTGTTCCCTTCTACAAAGCAGCTACAGAGATGGAAGCACTGTGTAAGCCCACACAGTGTTAACATGGTGGTGCCAAACACCAACAGCAGAACAGCCCTCTCTGTCAGGAGGAGACAAAGCTTTTGCTAACAAGCATGAGGCTTGTTCCTGGGATCTAATACGTCAAAAAAAGTCCCAAGACACCGGCATCCTGGAGAGCCACAGAGCACTCACCTAAAGCGATTCCTCCATGAGGTGGAGCTCCAAACTCCAAAGCCTCAAGCAGATGGGAAAGCACCTCAGAATCCTCCTGCAAAATTACATAAGGAGTGTCACTGGACAAACTATGCTCTTCCTACTAGCAACGTAAGATGACGGTATGATAAAGTCATCCATCACTCAGGGCTAGGAGTTACGTTTCTTTACCTGAGAAGCACACAAGTGTTTCTTCAATAATTTGAAATGGATATTTAAATTAATTAGTTCTTTAAATCTCCAAGAGAATATTAGAGACATCTGTAGGTGTTACCTTCAGCACCTTCTCCAGCACAAAATGCTGTTGTTCTGCATCATGAATTCTGATGGAGCCACCTCCAACTTCACTACCATTCAGCACAAGGTCATAGTGCTGGCTACGGACCTGCAGAAAGAAATGAACAAACACCTTAGCAAGGCTGGGACATCGCTGCATTTAACACCAACCTGCACACAGACAGCAAAGACACTGAGAATGAAGCCATGACTACTATAACACTGTTCCCTCAGTGGTACCTTACAGTTCAGGTACCAGTCCTATCAGAGGCATGGACTGCTGTTGACAGAGGTGGGAACAGTACAAATCCTTTTGCAAAGTTGATCAAAAGCAACATGGGATGGGTCAAAATATGACTCCACCCCTTAAGCAACTGTTTCCTATAAGCCCCTTTTGTCAGGGGCATACATGGATATTTGCCACTCAGAGTAATCTGGAAGCCATCTCTTCCAAACAGCTACATAAAATACGCAGTCAGTTCCATGAAATAACATCTCTTTTTATAGTAAAAACAGATGCTACTTGCCCAGTTTTCCAGGACATGCAGCCGTAAGAGCCAGCATGGCAGGCATGAAGTTAGTTACCTTTGTGGGATCAGAATAGAGAAGGCTGGTATCTGAAGGATGAGGGGCAGTGAAGGGGTGATGAGCAGATTCCAGTTCAGTGGGATTATCTTCCTTGGGGAGGAAAAGTGGAAAATCCACCACCCACAGAAAGTGGAAAGTCATAGGATCACGCAGTACCAGCCCAGCCGCCTCAAGGAGGTCAGCACTCTCCAACCGCAGGCTTCCTAAAGCAGAGCACTGCAAAAGAGAACGGAAAGAATGAGACAGGGCAATTTTACTAACAAGGAAGTCACTCAAACACTGACCAGGGAAAG